CTATTTTTTTGTATAGTACTGTGAAGTGTGGTAGCTTGAACCGACGCACTTGCATGTAGGGACCTGTGTTGATTTTGTCTGTGTATCATTTGAATTAAGTCCTCGTTAATAGCTCTCTCTCTCTCTCTCTCGCTATCTATCTATCTATCTATCTATCTATCTATCTATCTAATCTATCTAATCTATCTAATCTATCTAATCTATCTAATCTATCTAATCTATCTAATCTATCTAATCTATCTAATCTATCTAATCTATCTAATCTATCTAATCTATCTAATCTATCTAATCTATCTAATCTATCTAATCTATCTAATCTATCTAATCTATCTAATCTATCTAATCTATCTAATCTATCTAATCTATCTAATCTATCTAATCTATCTAATCTATCTAATCTATCTAATCTATCTAATCTATCTAATCTATCTAATCTATCTAATCTATCTAATCTATCTAATCTATCTAATCTATCTAATCTATCTAATCTATCTAATCTATCTAATCTATCTAATCTATCTAATCTATCTAATCTATCTAATCTATCTAATCTATCTAATCTATCTAATCTATCTAATCTATCTAATCTATCTAATCTATCTAATCTATCTAATCTATCTAATCTATCTAATCTATCTAATCTATCTAATCTATCTAATCTATCTAATCTATCTAATCTATCTAATCTATCTAATCTATCTAATCTATCTAATCTATCTAATCTATCTAATCTATCTAATCTATCTAATCTATCTAATCTATCTAATCTATCTAATCTATCTAATCTATCTAATCTATCTAATCTATCTAATCTATCTAATCTATCTAATCTATCTAATCTATCTAATCTATCTAATCTATCTAATCTATCTAATCTATCTAATCTATCTAATCTATCTAATCTATCTAATCTATCTAATCTATCTAATCTATCTAATCTATCTAATCTATCTAATCTATCTAATTTATCTAATTTATCTAATCTATCTAATCTATCTAATCTATCTAATCTATCTAATCTATCTAATCTATCTAATCTATCTAATCTATCTAATCTATCTAATTTATCTAATCTATCTAATCTATCTAATCTATCTAATCTATCTAATCTATCTAATCTATCTAATCTATCTAATCTATCTAATCTATCTAATCTATCTAATCTATCTAATCTATCTAATCTATCTAATCTATCTAATCTATCTAATCTATCTAATCTATCTAATCTATCTAATCTATCTAATCTATCTAATCTATCTAATCTATCTAATCTATCTAATCTATCTAATCTATCTAATCTATCTAATCTATCTAATCTATCTAATCTATCTAATCTATCTAATCTATCTAATCTATCTAATCTATCTAATCTATCTAATCTATCTAATCTATCTAATCTATCTAATTTATCTAATTTATCTAATCTATCTAATCTATCTAATCTATCTAATCTATCTAATCTATCTAATCTATCTAATCTATCTAATCTATCTAATCTATCTAATCTATCTAATCTATCTAATCTATCTAATCTATCTAATCTATCTAATCTATCTAATCTATCTAATCTATCTAATCTATCTAATCTATCTAATCTATCTAATCTATCTAATCTATCTAATCTATCTAATCTATCTAATCTATCTAATCTATCTAATCTATCTAATCTATCTAATCTATCTAATCTATCTAATCTATCTAATCTATCTAATCTATCTAATCTATCTAATCTATCTAATCTATCTAATCTATCTAATCTATCTAATCTATCTAATCTATCTAATCTATCTAATCTATCTAATCTATCTAATCTATCTAATCTATCTAATCTATCTAATCTATCTAATCTATCTAATCTATCTAATCTATCTAATCTATCTAATCTATCTAATCTATCTAATCTATCTAATCTATCTAATCTATCTAATCTATCTAATCTATCTAATCTATCTAATCTATCTAATCTATCTAATCTATCTAATCTATCTAATCTATCTAATCTATCTAATCTATCTAATCTATCTAATCTATCTAATCTATCTAATCTATCTAATCTATCTAATCTATCTAATCTATCTAATCTATCTAATCTATCTAATCTATCTAATCTATCTAATCTATCTAATCTATCTAATCTATCTAATCTATCTAATCTATCTAATCTAGGTCAACACCTGACTATGAGGAGAGTACTGAGCAAGCATATAACGCTTATCAAAGCTCTCTACTCGAAAACACGCAACTGTGCAAGGTCTTGTGAAGAGTTGTTATCAGAATTGACGACAACTAGTGGTGTCTCCCAAGGATGCCCGCTGTGACCGTTCCTATTTAAGTTCGTAATAGGTGTACTGAAGTTGCATCTAAAATCACAGAGTTTGATATACACCCTGGAGGGCAGCTGGTTGACTTGAAGTATCCAGACGATATTATCCTGCTAGGTTAAGATGATGACAGAATGCAGAATGTTTTGAACGCGTTTAGAAGAAATTTGAGAATGTTTCGCATGAGTTTCGCTGTCACCTGTCTAATGTAAGATGATACACCAGGACTGGTGTGCTGCAAGTACTCCGAATTTAATGATAGGTGGTGAAGTGGTGGAATATGTCAATGACTTTATTTACATGGGGAGTTGCATGAGCCTGAACGGGTTGGTTGTTGACGAAATCTCAGATACAGATGGCATTTACCAACTTGAGTCACCTGTGGCACCCACTGGTGAGATACCTGACTATCTATCATTGAACGAGTAAACTATGCCACAGTTCGTTCTGTCCTGTTATACAGCTGAAACATGGGCGTTAAAAATAGAAGACAAAGAGCGGTTACAAGGTTTTCATCATAGATGCTTTCGTAACATTGCTCGTGTTTTGGTGGAATCATTTTGTGAGCAATGTTGAGGTCGGACAAAGGGTACTAGGTAAGACAAGCAAGTCGATTGATGAGGTTGTGAACGTTGGTTGACTGAGGCAGCTTGGACATGTACTGTGCATACCGATGCACCGCCTACCTCGACGTGCAATGTTAGGAGAAGTTGGATTAGGTTGTAAAAGGGTTGAGGGTGGCCAAATTAAGATATGGCCCCATTCAATGAAGTCTTTGACTGTTGGTCTGAGCTGTAAGGGATATGTAAACTGTCTGGTTAGAGTGCCCGAGATGAAAGGAATCAGTGGTTGATGACTATTCGTGACATGGCTTAAAATCGGTCACAATGGCGCAGATGTATTCACTCCTTGACGCCCTTTAAATCTTAAATATTTGGGCTAATTTTCATCCTTGAAATATCTTTTCTCTGACACAACTTTGTCTACTTTGATATCACTTTTATTCTATCCACCTATTTTTTTGTATAGTACTGTGAAGTGTGGTAGCTTGAACCGACGCACTTGCATGTAGGGACCTGTGTTGATTTTGTCTGTGTATCATTTGAATTAAGTCCTCGTTAATAGCTCTCTCTCTCTCTCTCGCTATTTATCTATCTATCTATCTATCTAATCTATCTAATCTATCTAATCTATCTAATCTATCTAATCTATCTAATCTATCTAATCTATCTAATCTATCTAATCTGTCTAATCTATATATATATATATATATATATATATATATATATATATATATATATATATATATATATATATATATATATATATATGGTTTTCATTTATTAGCGAATGCCATTTAGTCTTGGTTGGTTAATTAATTTAAATAATTATAAATTAATAGTTACTCATGTGGCTTATGGCGATGCAAGTTCATGAAGTAGATAATTGCATTAGACTAATAGAAGTCTTAAATAAAATAAAGCAGGTTGCTTATTGACTAAAAATTTAACATCTATTATAGAATTTGGAACGATAACTTGTTGGTTAGTGGATATACCTTTTCAGAATAACGTACTTACCGGGAGATGAGAAATTAGGAATACAGGTGATGTGAGATGACGGTATGTCAGGGTCCCTTGCTAGTAAATTAAATTCCATCAGATGAAAAGTGAAATAAGTTGAAGTTAGACGTTTGTTTACCCTGATGGCCAAGGTAGCAATGACAGAGGTTGCACAAACTTCTGAAAACAATGGTTCGGTTTGTAGAGGTGTATGGCGATAGCTTTTGCTGTGTGTAGCAAGCGAATACGTGGACTACGCTGTAGACTGAATGGAATGTATTCATTCTTTATCATTGAAACGTTGGACATTTTACTAACTTACCCTTCTTTCTTCTTTCACTCCTCTTATTTTCACTTGAGTTTCATCGTATTCGTGTTATGATTATCCCGCTTGTTTGTGCTGTGTGAAGAGTGATAACTTGAACTGGTGAAATTTCGTACAATGTTTTATGTTGTCCTATCTGACAATTTTGTAAACACGTTTCTTTTCCAATTCTGTATAATAATAACAATAATAATAATCGCTTTACTCGAAACATGTGTGATACAGTATGGAATTCTCAGCATGCAATATTTCAAGAAATTCGCTTTCTGTACAAATAGTTATTGTATCTGAAGTCTTAATAATAACAGTGTTAAAAGCACTAATATGAAACGGGCAGCTGGTGGTAAATAGGCATCTGGTCTGGTCTCGGGGACGAATACATAATCGATGTTGAATGTTGCAGCGTAATTTTGGTGATGATAGTTCAGTCAGCCAGTAAAAAATCTGCAGTTCGATATAGATATCCTAGGATAATAAGGTGCCGTATTTTTGAGCATTTATAAGTCCATTTCCATCCGGCATAAAGTTTTTCCTTTGTTTGAGAAACGGCAGTTTGAAAACATTTTAAAAATGTGCGAGAGTGCATGATACGTTTAGAAGATACATTTAATAGATTAAAACAAACTGAAACGGAAAAATTTGATGAAATATATTTGGTGGAAAATTATTGGTAGCCCAAGATTTAAGCAGACCACCATGTAATACTTGGCTAAGTTCACATGGATAATTCACATAAATTGATTTGAAAATCAATCACATATCTCCTTTGTTGCATTCGATGTTGCCTTTCAGATGGTCGAAAAAATGCACCTATACGTCATGGATCAATTACATCAGCTGGTTTTCTACGAGATGCATGTAATGTAGTGAAGAAATTCATCAAATCTTTACCTGACAGTGTTGAATTCAGTCTGATGGCATTATGCCCTGATAACAACTGAATTATGTTTCTCGCTGTATTATTTTTCTACATTATACTCTCCTTTTTATATGGTTTATACGAAAGAAATACATGACTAATGTTGGTGTAGACGAGCCTTTTGTTTTAGTAACAGAATTTAATTTGGATGTTTTTAGCATGAAGTGAAGCCGCCGAATGAGTTTGCTCTTCACAGAAGAACGATTGTCAGCTAAGACTGAGGAATTATGACACTTATGAAAAAGAAAATATCCTTCAGGGTTTGTTATAGGTCCAATCTGTCCTCATACTTTTCATGGTGCATAATTATGAATTTCGTCGGATTCTACCTTTTCATACACTCTATTGCAGTCGACAAATGGATCAACATACAACTCACAAATGTACAGCATTTCAATTTGCCACACTACACTACAGTACACAGACGAGGTCAAGAAAAATAAAAATGTATTACTGCAAATAGAAGGAATCTAGGAGAAGAATCAGTAAATAATAAATGGTAATTAGTTTAAAACTTTGATGCTGAAAAAAAGAGTACGCCTGTCTCACTGTGGTCGATTTTGAGTTAAATTACGCGAAAGGTAACCTTTATTATAGTGAATGACGTGAGCCTGTGTGCTAGTTGAAAAGCGTAGTGTGTCAAGAAGCATTGGAAAAGTGAAAGGGAAAAATTGGCGGTACAATAAAGGTAACTCGGCCAGTCATTCAATATCCACGTGAGACTTAGCAGTACTGTGTAGCTTTTTAAGTTCCCACACCTCACATAAAGCACATCAAAGTAGTGCAAACAGATGAAAGGGAAATAATGAAAAGCAAACGAAAGTGGCAGAAAGTCATCAGAAGAGAGCGAAAAGCTATACAACAAAATTCTGTAAGACGATTGAGATGTAGATAATGTGTATGTACATTTGTGCCATTGAGACCATTTCTGAACCATTCCAGCTATGAGCTTCGGTTGGCATGTTGACCTTAACCGGGAAGTTTACATTTCTTCATATAGCTCGAACCAGTGCTCGGAGAATTCGTGAACTGACACTGCTTTAATCTGGTCACCTCTAACTTCTCCTGTCTGAGCCTTCTTCAGCCAACAATGAGGGGCGAAGCAAACGGTGATTAGGAATAACGCAAGTCCCAGCCATATGAGTCAATGAAGATTTACAAACTCCTCACCTGACTTCCCTATTCTGCCTAGAATTCCACTTCTAACTTCTGCGTTACTCACGTGAAATCATCACGGCACGGTACGTTTTACAAAGGCAATTGCAGTCGAACATCTGAAGCCTTCTCATGTCTGTTATCGTCGCTTCCTTATCCTTTTCTTCTCGTCCCTGCTATCAGCCATTGTATAAATCCTTTATTAGTCTACAATTCAGTTACTTCCTCTCCTCATTTCGATTGGATTCTACTGAGATGTACTTACATGCATCTATTGATTCAAAGGTAAACTAACTTTGCACATCATATAAATTTTCCTACGTTTCTGGAAACTTAGGGTTAAAACTATGAATATCGATAAGCGATTAGCGAAATTAGCCTATAGCATACATAAATCTCGGTTGAGTAGCACCACTGATTGAAGTATTTATTGAAGAAAACTCTAGAAATTCACTATGAATGTAGCTCATAATTTTTGTGATGGATAGTATTTAAAAATCAAAGTGATAAAGAAACTACCCAAAAAATCATTTTTGCATGTACAAACCACCAAACTAAGTGATTTCATAAACAATATGACAAGTGTTAATTCCTGAATCTAATCGATTTTGATGATCAGTAAGTTGTGAGTACCAGATCTTGATTTCTTTTAAGATCTCGTCGCTTGAAGGTATCCTGACCAACAATGGAATGAATGGTTTGAAAAAACTTGGACACCGAGTTAGTATGATTCATTGTATGTGTATTTTTACTTGTATGATCCCGGCGTAGTATATCAGAACAAAATCAACAAATATTTTGTATTATTCCTCAACGTTTCGATCTTGTTAAGAAGATCCTTTTCAAGAGGATGAATATTTGAGGAATAATACAAAATATTTGTTTATTTTGTTATTTGTTCTAATATACTTACGCCAGGATTACACAAGTAAAAATGCACCTTATAGAATGAATCTTGACGTTATTCATTGATTTAAGGCATTAAGCTTTTAACCAATGTCTCTGCTCTCGAACCTCGCTTTATTTATTTCGATCTTGGTCACCGGATAAAATATTGTTTGGAAATAAAAGTTGTAAGGTAAGCATGCTAATAAGCACTGTAAAGATCTCTAGAATTTCAAAAAATGAAATATATTAGGGACTTGCGTTGAAGAATTAGAAATTAACATGTACGAAAGAAAATGTACTTCAGTATGATGCATCTTTGTCAGTTTCACTTTTTTCCCATGCTTCCATAAAGCTAAAGTTCCCCCAGTGTGATGAATATATAGTTTGTTACGACGTCAGTCTCTAAAGTATAGTTGATTCAAGTCAACGGTTATTAATTTTATAACTTGTAATTTTTCGTCGTTGGTTGAATAGAATTGACCAACCATTACTGACACATGGACTCTTGTGCGGGCGCCTCAATACTGCCAGTATTTTCGGTTTGATATCAATGTTAGATAATGACTAACAGTGGAATACAGAACACACTTTTCGTCCTATTTAGGACTTATCAGCTTCCCAGTGTGTGCTGCTCCCACTAGGACTGGAACCTAGGGCCGGTCTCCCTAAACGCCTGGTGGATAACGCTCTGGCGTTTCAAATGATTGGTCCTGGGTTAGAGTCTCAGTAGGAAAAACAGTCACTAGTGGGGAGGTAAGTCTAACCGACAAGTCCTAAATAGGATGAAACGCACTTAATTGTCTTAATCCTTTTAGAAAACATTGACTTCATCTTGTCCAATTTGTCTAATGCCATTACATAATACTTAATTGATTTACCATTTTCAACAATTTTTTCACCCCCTTCTGAGTTATATACTCTCTATGTACCATTCCATATATTACGTAATCTATTTGTTATCATTCGCACTTCAATTGTTATTATAATCATAAATGCCTATGTCATCACCCGCTCTATTATTATTGTCATCACCATATAGTGTTTAGTTTTCCTCACAGGATATAATTTTTTCCAAATACCATATATATACGATTGTACAGCTTGAAAATAAATTCGTTGAAAAGAGTCTCTTCGCTGAATATCTTGTTCTTAATGTTACAATGGGAATTATTAAATTATTAAATTAAAATTATATGACGGTGGAATGACATTATTATCATTAGTAGTATTAGTATTATTATTTTGACTGTCTGAGATAGCTGGTTTGACAAACTACCAATGATACTGGGTAATGTAACAAGTTGGAATGAACATTTCAACCGCGGCGAAATTCGAACTCGGTAGTCGCTGGCTCGAATCCAAATTTTCATTTCGCCTTCAATCATCATCCGGTATCATTATTATTATTTTCATGACTATTTTAACTATTGCCATTGAAATGAATTGAGTTACTTTTGACATAGTTCTAAGGACTAAAATACATTTTTAAAATCTATATTCAGGTCTTGAAATTAATGTTAATATGAAAAAGATTTAGACTATCCAAAATAAAGTTATCATGCAGTGTATCACACACACTAGTTATTACCTTAAATGGACAAAAAATAATCAAGAAGGTTAAATTTAACAAAGTAAACGCGATGTTTAGTTGAGTAATTTGAATCAGAACACAAATTACAATCATTAGTTCATCAAGAATATTTGTAGTGTTCAGAATTCTTCCTTTCTCTCTTTTAGTACTTTATATTTATTTTGACTGAATTTTCTTATCTTCATCTTGCGCCTCATTGCCTTTTTACTTGGTGTAGTAATATGAGCTGTGTTAACTCGGACCGTTACGCAGTAATGCTTGGTCCTATGTTAATATTGATGATGATGATTTAGTGTTTAGAATAAGGAAGATGTAAATACAGTGATCAAGTTAAATCAGCTCTGTACTGATTTTTGTCGATGTGAAAAAGGTATACCAACAACCTCATTTTTGTCCGCTCTATACACATTAAATGTGCACAATATTCTTTAATATAAGAGTAAAACTTGGGCACTGTAGTCGATTGTAATTCCATTTTAGTCTGTTTATTAAAAATATCACACAGTGAAACAGTAGCATTCACTAGATAACGTTTCAGACACTATTTATTGTCCATATTCATATCAGATAACTCCACAACTTCGAGATAGACTTTATATATTTCCAATTTTCTCTCCTTCTCTGTGATGACAAGGGTAGTAGAATTTTCCATATATCTGAGACAGGTGCAGAATCATTTCGATTGCATGTATTTGGTGTTGATTCGATAGACAAAGATTCGGTTATCGATCTCTCTCTCCACCCAACTAAGTTAGTTTTCAACACTGTCGCCCTATCACAACCTACTGTGTGATTGTATGTCATCGCACGCAGAGCTGTAGCCGAGCTTTTCTCTATATTTCTTATCTTATTAGGATCTACTAATTTTGATGTAACTAAGTTTTGTGCTCTGTTATTCTAACCGACCCTGGTCGACTGCTATGACAGGCGCTATTAATAATAATTCCACTACTAATGGCAATAATGGTGACAGGGTTAAGAGAGAATTCAAAGCCTCTACTGTGTTACCATACAAGGAAGGCACTTCAGAAGCATTACGAGGAATTCTCAATAAGGCTGGGATTAAAGTGGCATTCAAACCAATAAACTCGTTTAGAAACAAGCTTTGTAGATTAAAAGATCCTATGGATGCAATTAAGCAAAATAATCTGGTTTACCAGATCCCTTGAAATGATTGCGAGGTCAAGTACATAGGTCATAGCAGTCGACCAGGGTCGGTTAGAATAACAGAGCACAAAACTTAGTTACATCAAAATTAGTAGATCCTAATAAGATAAGAAATATAGAGAAAAGCTCGGCTACAGCTCTGCATGCGATGACACACAATCACACAGTAGGTTGTGATAGGGCGACAGTGTTGAAAACTAACTTAGTTGGGTGGAGAGAGAGATCGATAACCGAATCTTTGTCTATCGAATCAACACCAAATACATGCAATCGAAATGATTCTGCACCTGTCTCAGATATATGGAAAAT